AACAATGCAGGCAATGCGAATTGCGGCGATCGGACATATCGACTCTCCGAATTGCGAAGCTTCGTGCGCGCAGGAGTGCGAATTGTGCAAAAGGCCACCCTAAGGCTCAGGAAGGTCCTATAGGGAATCCCTTTTGGGTTTCCTCATGTTGGTTTCGTCCTTCTAAGTGCTAGAAGTTGATACCACACACGTGAAACTCCAGAAGGGGACGGAAGCGGGTCGAACTAAAACGAGGCGGGTCCCACTTCTAAGGTTCTAAGATAGTCGCAGGAAGACCCCTAAGGCTAGATCCTAAACCCTAAGCGGAAGACTAGATCTCACGAAATTGAGGTCAACAAGGCTAGTCCTAAAAGCTTAAGTCAATACTTAAGAGCAAACTATTATTATCAACATCCAGTATCTATGTCTATTACTCAAAGATTAATCTAAATGGACTCATCATCTTGAGAAAAATCTTCCTATGTGAAAGGCTTCACCACAATGACTTTTTGACCCATGTTGATGTAGGCTCCTAAAATTTGTGCCCAACCTTCATTGAAAAATGAATGAGATGTGGAGATTACCTAAGATTTTGGGTCAAAATTTTAAAAGGAAGATGAGATAATCGATAAGACATTACTTAAAGATTACGCCTTTGTTTTGCGAGGATTTTAGATCAGGGGTTTGAAGGTTCTCATAGGTGCAAGACGCTATGGTGAATTATATCTCCTAATAATAGAAGAACACTTTTGATTAAGGCAAGTAATTAAGGTGCATATTACTCAGTGTATAGTAGTAGTAAATTTAAGATTTGAATTGATAAATTTATCATTGTGAGTTTAGAGTGGATTTTGGGAGAAATGATGATGAACTCGATCAAAATTTCATAGTTACGTCAATCTAGATTGTCTACTTAGTCAGATGCGTTAATTGGCCCAACATGATAGAATAATTTGTCAGCAACCATTGGTAGGATTGTCAAAAAATATCATTGTACGTGAACAACTCGTGTTTGACTTATTAAATCGCTCTTGTTCGATTCATCTGTTAACCAATTGAGACGATCAAACAATTTTTGGTTCGATCGTGTTTAGGTTATTTTGGCTCAAATTGATTAAATAATTAAATACATAATATTGTTATGACATTTTATATTATTTTTAATTCTATATTTTAAAAAATGTTAAGATTTATCCTTTTTTTTAATTATTTGAGCTATTTTTGAGCTGATCATGGTTTGAAACGAACAAACAAATTCAATTAAAACTCTTTGCAAACATGTTATTCACAAGCCATTTCGAACACGATACCATTTCAAATAAAAAAATCAAACGAGTTAAACACGAATGAGCACCAAGCTCGCTCAAACTCGGCTCATTTACACCATTTTTTATGGGTTATTTTGTCCAAGTGAATCTTATAGATCTATTGTGGATGTTTGTTTAAAGTATTAAATTTAGGTTAACTTTAACTTATAGAGAATTTTATGCCCTATTAGGTATATACCATATGACTCACTACTCAAATAGATAATATCATTGAGAATATACATGCCACAACCGTTATTCTAATATAGTGAAGCTTACTGGCCAAGTCACCTGATGAGAGGGCTCTGATCGTAACAACTTTATTTGTGAAATATATTAATCAAACCATGCTGACAGAGGATTCATGCCATGTTCTTACTGATATGAGATTATATTGACTATAAAGATAATAATACACTTAACATGATATTGGTTAATTTTGAGCTTACATTAATCATAAACTTATCATCCTCAATACACGATCACGAATGCTGGGTGGATTTTATTTTAAACTTTTAAGTGATAGATTGGATATTTTTAGATTTTATAATTTTGAAAATTTTATTTTATGGGGGACCTCTCTAATTTAGATTTAATTTCAACTCAGCTATCATCAGAGGAAATTAATCGAAATGTTTGTATTAATAATTTATTAAGAAAAATTCTTGTTAAATATTATTAAAGATATCAATTTTGTTTACTTTGTTTCGAGAATGATTGAATTGGCTAGGTATAGGCCCAGTTTTCATCTACTCTGGTCCTACTTAAGATGAGGATCAGATTATAAGCTAAAGTGAGATTTATAACTTAGCACTATAAGCACGATGACCCGCTCGAGAGCACGTGTAATTTAATAATTCAGGAGTTGATTTTGAAAAGAGAGATTTTTGCAAAGTTTAAGGACGCTTGCATGCTTCTCAAGATAAATTTAATTTTAATTTAAATTTATTGTAAACATGTGCAACATTCTCAAACCTTGTGATTTAGCTTTTACCATGTTTGTTAGAGCACATTTGAGCATGAAACTCATAAGTGTGCAAGCATGCACTGACATTGTGCAATTGCACGAATTTTAATGCATGGAAATATTGCCTCGTGATATGTGCACACCTTAAAAATACAAATTGATCTAGAACAAGTGTTTTTGAGATGGATGTATGCTCTTCAACACTTGCACGAATTTTGATGTATTTCCTTTGAGTTGAAGAAGTGTTATAATTCATTTAAGTCTTCAAATTATCCAAAAATTTGAATACTTGCACTTGCATTTGAGTTATTGAGATACGTGTAAGTTTTCATTTTGAGGTTTTGATTTTGTCTTCTATCCGTTTCGAAGTTAATGTTATGGATCTGGTGAAAATTAAAATATTTTAAGTTTGAACATTACATTTTGCTCACATTTAACCCTCGTTTAGGCATTCAAATGGCCCCTTACCCATCTTCGGATGCAATTATGATTCACTGTCTTGCTTATTCTAAAAGCCAATGATAGGTTATGCTCAAGCTCATAAGCTAACTGCTGAGTTCCTTGCTAGAGTGAGATGTAGAAAGTTACAAGTGTCTGTACTATCAAGTTTCATAGGTTCCAAATACAACAAGAGGGTTCTATTCATACGCATTATAGAGCTATTGAATCTTTAGGAAATTTTATTCTACATTTTGCATTTATTTGAAGACAGGCTTTCAAATCTGTGGCATGTTTCATTCCGTCCTCTTTGACAGGCTATTGATATTTCTAATTATCTAGTTCAATGCTAAGTTCTACGCTATTTGCTTGAAGTTTTAATTAGTCATTTTTTTTTTGCAATTTATGTGACATTTTCTGCCCGTTTGGGGTAGCTTATTTTGCTGCAGCGGCTTTTTCAAAACGCCGCCGTGGTGTTTGTTTAATGCGTTCGGCCATGCGTTTTGAAAACTCCCTTAATCGCGTCTTATATTTTGTTCTACGGATCGAACGCGGGGGAGGCCTTGCGTTCGACGTTTGTTAGGGCTCGAATTTCTCTCGTGCCCATACGGTTTTTTCTCTCTCGCTCTCCTTTCTCTCGCGCTCTCCCTCGCGATCTCCTTTCCCGATCTTCTCTTTCATTATCTTCTGGTAAGATCTATATGCCGCAATGCTTCGATCTTCTCTGTTTTATTTTTATGTGGCTCGATTCCTTAATGTTGAGGTTTTTATGCTTTTTTTTTTGAGGGTTAAGTTGGTTCTTTGGGAATGGTTTTTTTTTTTAAGCTTTTTTTGAAATTTTGGGGTGAAATGGATTTTAAGTTTTTTTTTTTTTTTTTTATGCTGTCGAAATGGATCTTAGGGTTTCGTTGAAGGAATGTGTTTGTTACTGTTGGAACCGTTGGATTTTTTAGGGGGAACTCTTGAAAATTTTTTTTGAGCCCTTACGTTTTGATTTTTTGGGTATTTTAGGTTCATGTTACTGTTGGAATTTTTCCAGCTGCTTCTAACTGTTGGTATGTGAAGGAAGGTGCGGTCCTGTTATGTTGTTTTCTGGGTTGCATCTTTAATTTGTTATACTGTATAAACTGTTATTTTTGTTTGCTGTGAAGCAAAAATCGTTATGCTGTATGAACTGTTATGTGAGATTACAACCATGGTTCCCTGTCACTATTTCAATGCATTCCCTGTTAGTCCCGTTTGGTGTATGAAAGCAAAGGGTTCCTGTTAAAATTGTTTAGCTGCACCATTCATATTGATCAGCTCTTGTTATAACTTGGAAATATTTGTTTGGTCTTTTCGGTCTTTTCGGTTTGCTAATAGTGGCAAAGGTTATATTAATAGTGACAATAGTTGAGGAGGCAATGTTTACTTTCTGTTTTATATCAGACTAGTTTTATGTTAGACAATAGTGACAATAGAGGTAATGTTTACTTTCTGTTTTATATCAGGCAATAGAGGCAATACTTAAATTATGACAATGACAATGGTTTCAATGTTTAGTTGCACCAATGGTTATAGCATATGCAATAGTGGCAATTTTTACTTTCTGTTAAATATGTGGAATTGCCCATTAAGAACTTGAATATTACACATGCCAGTTGTTTAGCTGTTTAGCTGAATGAATGCGCCTTTAGTGGGAGATAATTGGGTTATCTTCACTATATTTGCAAGACCATTGCTATGTATTTGAATAGAGGAGATGCAACTATTGCTATGTTATATAAAGAGGAGATGTATCAAATTTAGATGTCTATCGAGAACCTTTGCTATGTATTTGAAAAGCATAGCTATGTAACCTTACACAATTTCATAATAAAACATATTTCGGTGGCTTACTGTGGATGTAGGTCTTTGACCGAACCACATAATTCCTTTGTGTCATTTTTTTTTTTATTTTTTCTTCTGTGAGCAAATGTTGTTGGTATGGGTGGCAGCAGAAGTTGTCAAGTTTTTTACTATTTCTCTTCTAAGTCATGTACAAAGTTCGATGTCTTTCATCTCTTGTTGGCTCATTTGAAAAATTTTCTTATGCATGTTGATTTACAATATGAATTTCTTTATGCATATTTAATTCTTCATATAGTTTACAATTATTTTTTGCAAACTCTGCATCACCGAGATTGAGATCGGGAATAGGCCGACCACCTATTTCAACAAGGAAGGTTGACATAACATATCAAAGAGGTTTAAAGAATTAACTAGAATGGATTATGACAGACTGAAGTTTAAAAATAATTTGAAGGAGTGAAAAATTTGAAAGGAGCTGAAACATGAATCCATGGGTTTGGGGTGGGATCCAGGTTTGGGGTGGGATCCAATCAAAATCCAATCAAACGGACAATTGAAGCTCTTGAGGAATGGTGGGCCGAGAAATTAGAGGTAAAATCGTCATTATGTTTTTGTTGCTTACAAATTTTTTTATTTAAACAAATATCTTCCATGACCCTAAATATTTATCGTAATTTTTAGGCAATGCCGACGACAAAAAAATTCAAGCAGTGCGGAATTGACCCTGATCTTGAGGATAAACTTGATATTATGTTCAAGAGGGTAGTGGCAACTGGAAAGACTGCATTTAGGGTTTGCAGGAATACCCGATGATTTCCCACCAGATCCGATATCAGTTGACGGAGAAATACACAGCGTTAACCAGACGGAGATGGGGGAATCAAGCTCACAGCTGAAGAGGCCAAAGCTAGGAAGAAGAAAGAAAACAAATGATACTTTTCTCAAAACTTCATTTGACAGACTCATACATGCTTTTGGAGCACCACTGCTTGCTCCACTACCTGACAGCACTATCTTCGAATGTCTTTGCACTTTGAAAAACATCCTTGAAGTTGTATCTGATTAACACTTTCATGCAATATGTATGAAAAAACTCGAGGATCTAACACATAGGCATATATTTATGGCGATGGAAGCAGAGTTCCGAGTCGAGTATTTATGTGTTATTGTTAATGAATGATTTATTAGAACTCGTCTGTATTATTTAATCTGCTCAGTTATGAACTCATCTGTTATTTGGATCTGTTTTTCTTTTTTAATTGATTGTTTTTTCTTTTTTCATCATATTTGTTATTTTAATGCAAATTAGTAGAGCTTTTATTTTATTTATAATGTAATTTTACTAGTTGAGTGTTGTCATTATTTAATTCTTTCGCTATATTGGTTATTAATTGATGAAATAACCAAGTTCTTTCTTTCTTTAAGATGGATCCACAACATGAACGTCGTAAGAGAATGACATAGGCTGCAGCTATTGCCGTATTGCTATTGGAGTATTACCGAACAAGCAGAAATCATATACCCCTAATGATCTCCAGTTTTGTTGGGGATAAATGGGTTGGCGAAATGTTTTCTAGACATCCTATTATGTTTAGTAACATATTTCGAATGACAGTACCTATCTTTATGGATCTCTTGAACGAGTTATCCCTCAATCACAGACTCTCAGGTTGACAGTGCAGATGAGGACAGACATAGTCAGAGTCTGAAGTTAACACAATTTCTTTTGCATGATTAAAAAGAACTCTTCATTAAAAAAAGACTTAGATAATAACTTTTGCATGGAAAATCTTCCTATGAAAATTTATAAAGGTCCACGGCTAGTCACTTGGATTGAGGTTAAGAGCTACCTCCTATAGAGTGTCGAGTTGACAACTCTTATTCAAGATCGGGAAGCACACAACCCAGCTCTGAGCCCCCACTTTTACCAATGTCTTATACCCAGTCCTGATCTTTCATATGTGGTTATGTGTTTCTTTTGCTTGTGATTTTTACTACTCGTTTTTATGTCTTTCATACTGGGTTTTCTTGCTTTATTTATTTTTCTTGCAAGTTTATTTAAATCTGCTGCAAATTATATTACGCTTGCAACGTTAATCACGCAACAGTAGCAGATGCCCAACACAAGTCACCAATCTCAAACACTTAAACCCGGAGCCGTCGTGACGACAGGAGCGTGGAGCCAACTTTGTGGGCAGCACGACGAGGGATTCAGACCGAGCAGCAAGAGGATCTTCTTCGACATTATCTCTTCCTAGTATAATAATAACCCATAGGACTTCGAGGTAGCTCGCCTAGAGCGACGTAAATCCTCACCCTCTTTTAGGCCCCTGCACAACCAGGTTGTGCAGCATAAGTCCTAACTCGCTTTAAGTTCCGAGGTTGTTGTGTGGTACGACGTAAACCCTTCTTTCTCTGTGGGCTATTTGCATAATCGGGTATTATGCAAATGTAAGTCCCAAATAATAAAATTGGCAGGATTGAACATTTAAATAACATCATCTCTAAAAATGCAGCCACACATTAGGATAGTTTGGGAA